ACCAAATGGTAAAGACCATCAACACAAGGAAGAAACTGTATCAACTAATGAGAAAAACAACAAGCTAGCATCAAAACGGCAGGATCAAATTTACACATAACAATATTAAACTTAAATGTAAATGGGCTAAATGCCCATTCAGGAGACCCATCTCACATGCAAAGACACACATAGACTCAAAATAAAGGGATGGAGGAAGATTTACCAAGCAAATGGAGAGCAAAAACAAAAAGCAAGGATTGCAATCCTAGCCTCTGATAAAACAGACTTTAAACCAACAAAGATCAAAAGAGACAAAGAAGGGCATTACTTAATGGTAAAGGGATCAATGCAACAAGAAGAGTTAAGGATCTCAAATATATGCACACCCAATACAGGAGCATCCAGATACATAAAGCAAGTTCTTAATGACCTGCAAAGAGACTTAGACTTCCACACAATAATAGTGGGAGACTTAGACACTCCACTGTCAGTATTAGACAGATCAAAAGACAGAGGATATCCAGGACTTGAACTCAGATCTGCACCAAGTGGACCTAATAGACATCTACAGAACTCTCCATTCAAAATCCACAGAATATACATACTACTCAGCACCACATCACACTTACTCTAAAATTGACCACATAATTGGAATTAAATCACTCCTCAGCAAATGCAAAAGAACAGAAATTCAAACAACTAGTCTCTCAGACCACAGTGCAATCAAATTAGAACTCAGGATTAAGAAACTCACTCAAAACTGCACAACTACATGGAAACTGAACAACCTACTCCTGAATAACTACTAGATAAATAATGAAATGAAGGCAGAAATAAAGGTGTTCTTCAAAACCAGTGGGAATGAAGATACAACATACAAGACTCTAGGGACACATTTAAAGCAGTGTCTAGAGAGAAATATAGCTCTAAATGTCCACATGAGAAGTGAGGAAAGGTTTAAAATTGACACTCTACTGTCAAAAATAAAAGAACTAGAGGAGCAAGATCAAACAAATTCAAAAGCTAACAGAGGACAAGAAATAACTAAGATCAGAGCAGAACTGAAGGAAATAGAGACACAAAAAAAAAAAAAAACTTCAAAAAAAATCAATGTATCCCAAAGCTGGTTTTTTGAAAAGATAAAAAAAGAGATAGACTGCTAGCCAGACTAATAAAGAAGAAAAGAGAGAAGAATTGAATAGATGCAATAAAAAATGATAAAGGGGAGATCACCACCAATTGCACAGAAATACAAACCACCATCAGAGATTACTACAAACACCTCTATGCACATAAACCAGTAAATCTAGAAGAAACTGATAAATTCCTGGACACTTATGCCCTCCCAAGACTAAACCGAGAAGAAGTTGAAACCCTGAATAGACCAAAAACAAGTTCTAAAGTTGAGGCAGCAAATAATAGCCTACCAACCAAAACAAGTCCAGGACCAGATGGGTTCACAGCCACATTCTACCAGACATGCAAAGAGGAGCTGGTACCATTCCTTCTGAAACTATTCCAAACAATTCCAAAAGAGGGAATCCTCCCTAACTCATTCTATGAGACCAACATCATCCTGATACCAAAATCTGGCAGAGACACAACTTTTTAAACCAATATCCATGATGGACATTGATGTGAAAATCTTCAGTAAAATACTGGCAAACTGAATGCAACAGCACATCATAAAGCTCATCCATCACGATCAAGTCAGCTTCATCCCTAGGATGCAAGGCTGGTTCACCATATGCAAATCTATAAATGTAATCCATCACATAAACAGAACCAAAGACAAAAACCACACGATTATCTCAATAGATGCAGAGAAGGCCTTTGACAAAATTCAGCAGTGCTTTATGCCAAAAACTCTTAATAAACTAGGTAACAATGGAATGTATCTCAAAATAATAAAAGTTATTTATGACAAACCCACAACCAATATCACACTGAATAGGCAAAAACTGGAAGCTTTCCCTTTGAAATCTGGCACAAGACAAGGATGCCCTCTCTCACCACTCCTATTCAACGTAATATTAGAAGTTCTGGCCAGAGCAATCAGGCAAGAAAAAGAAATAAATGGTATTCAATTAGGAAAAGAGGAAGTCAAATTGTCTCTATTTGCAAACGACATGATTGTATATTTAGAAGACCCCATGGTCTCAGCCCAAAATCTCCTTAAGATATAAGCGACTTCAGCAAAATCTCAGGATACAAAATTAATGTGCAAAAATCACAAGCATTCCTATACACCAATAACAGACAAACAGAAAGCCAAATCATGAGCAAATTCCCATTCACAATTGCTACAAAGAGAATAAAATACCCAGGAATACAACTAACAAGGGACGTGAAGGGCCTCTTCAAGGAGAACTACACACCACTGCTCAGGGAAATAAGAGAGGATACAAACAGATGGAAAAACATTCCATGCTCATGGTCAGGAAGCATCAAATTGTGAAAATAGCCATACTGCCCAAAGTAATTTATAGTTTCAATGCTATCCCCATCAAGCTATTATTGACCTTCTTCACAGAACTGGAAAAAAACCACCTTAAACTTCATATGGAACCAAAAAAGAGCCCACATAGCCAAGACAATCCTAAGCAAAAACAAAACAAAACTGGAGGCATCATGCTACCTGACTTCAAACTATACTGCAATGCTACTGTAATCAAAACAGCATGGTACCGGTACCAAAACAGAAATATAGAACCATGGAACAGAACAGAGGCCTCAGAGGCAATGCCACACATCTACAACCATCTGATCTTTGACAAACCTGGAAAAAACAAGCAATGGAGAAAGGATTTCCTGTTTAATAAATGATGTTGGGAAAACCAGCTAGCCATGTGCAGAAAGCAGAAACTGGACCCCTTCCTGACACCTTACACTAAAATTAACTCCAGATGGATTAAAGATCTAAACATAAAACCTAATACCATAAAAATCCTAGAAGAAAACCTAGGCAAAACCATTCAGGCATAGGCATAGGCAAGGACTTTACGACTAAAACACCAAAAACAATGGTGTTTTAATTAACCATTAAATCTAATTAAACTTAAGAGTTTCTGCACAGCAAAAGAAACAATCATTAGAGTGAAACAGCAACCAACAGAATGAGAAACATTTTTGCAAGCTATCCATCTGACAAAGAGCTAATATCCAGAATCTATGAAGAACTTAAAAAAATTTACAAGACAAAAGCAAACAATCGCATCAAAAAGTGGGCTAAGGATATGAACAGACACTTTTCAAAAGAAGACATTTATGCAGCCAACAAACGTATGAAAAAATGCTCATCATCACTGGTCATTAGAGAAATGCAAATCAAAACCACATTGAGATACCATCTCACACAAGTTAGAATGGCGATCATTAAAAAATCTGGAGACAACAGATGCTGGAGAGGATGTGGAGAAATAGGAACACTTTTGCACTGTTGGTGGGAGTGTAAATTAGTTCAACCATTGTGGAAGACAGTGTGGCGATTCCTCAAGGATCTAGAAATAGAAATATCATTTGACCTAGTAATCCCATTACTGAGTATGTATACCCAAAGGATTATAAATCATTCTATTATAAAGACATATGCACACATATGTTCATTGTGGCACTGTCGTGGAATACTATGCAGCCATAAAAAAGGATGAGTTCATGTCCTTTGCAGGGATGTGGATGAATCTGGAAACCATCATTCTCAGCAAACTGACACAAGACCAGAAAACCAAACACCTCATGTTCTCACTCATAAGTGAGTGTTGAACAATGAGAACACATGGACACAAAGAGGGGAACACCACATACTGGGGCCTGTTGAGAGGTGGAAAAGCTAGCGGAGGGATAGCAGGGCATGGGGAATTGGGGAGGGATAACATTAGGAGAAATACCTTATGTAGGTGATGGGGTGATGGATGCAGCAAACCACCATGGCATGTGTATACCTATGTAACAAACCTACATGATATGCACATGTACCCCAGAACTTAAAATATAATAATAATAATAATAACCAGTAAGAAAAAAAAAGGTGAGCAAAGGGAAGGGTAGTGGGTGGAGGGGGGTGGAGGGGGAGAGATGAGGATAGTTAATGGATTAAAAAAATAGAAGAATGAATAAGGCCAGGCACAGTGGCTGACATCTATAATCCTAGCCTTTTGGGAGGCCAAGGAGGAGGAATCACTTGAGCCTAGTAGTTCAAGACCAGCCTGGGCAACATAGTGAGATCCTCTCTTTGCAAAAAATACAAAAACTAGCTGGGTGTGGTGACTCATGCCTGTGGTCCCAGCCACTTGGGAGGCTGAGGTGGGAGGCTCACCTGAGCCTCCCACCTCAACCAGGGAGGTTGAAGTTGCAGTAAGCTGTGATCCAACCCACTGCACTCCAGCCTGGGCAACAGAGTGAGGCCCTGTCTCAAAACAAGCAAACAACAAAAAGATTAAGACCTAGTGTTTGATAGCACAACAGGATGACTCCAATCAATAATAATTAAATTATACATTTAAAATAATTAAAAGAGCATAACTGGATTGTCTGTAACGCAAAAGATATATGCTTGAGGGGATGGATATCACATTCTCTATGATGTAATTATTATGCATTACATGCCTGTATCAAAACATTTCATGTACCCCATAAATATATACACTTATGTACCCACGTAATGGGCAAAAGGCATGAACATTTTCCAAAAGAAGACATAGCAAAAGTTAACAAACATATGAAAAAATGCTCAACATCGCTGATCATCAGACAAAAGCAAATAATACCACAGTGAGATATCATCTTACACCAGCGAGAATGGCTGTTACTAAAAAGTCGGAGAACGACACATGTTGGCAAGGATGCAGAGAAAATGAAACGCTTACACACTGTGGGTGGGAATGTAAATTAGTACCTCTGTGGAAAACAGTATGAAGATTTCCCAAAGAACTGAAAATAAAACTACCATTTGATCCAGCAATCCCACTACCAGAGATCTGTCCTAAGGAGAAGAAATAATTACATTAAAAAGATACCTGATGCTTTTGTAGTTCATGAGCGTGATGACTGGGTGTTCAAGTACATGCGTGAGATGTGTCACCCTCAAATTTGTTGCGAAGTTGGAATATTGCCTGTCTGACAGGAAGAAAATTTTAAGTTTAAAAGGATACCTGCACTTGTATGCTTATCACAGCACCGTTGAAAATGGCAACGATTCAGAATCAACCTGTGTCCATCAATGGATGACTGGATAAAGAAAATGTGGTGTATATATAGAACTCGGCCACAAAAAAGAATGAAATCATGTCTTCTCCAGCAACATGGATGGAATTGGAGGTCATTATTTTAAGTAAAATAACTTAGAAACAGAGAGTCAAATACTACATGCTATCACTTATAAGCAGGAGCTAAACAATGGGTCCACATGAACCGACCGAATGGAGTGATAGACACTGGTCTCCAAAAGGTGGGAAAGTGGTAAGGAATGAGAAGTTACCTAGTGGATACAATGTACACTATTCAGGTGATGGTTACACTAAAAGCCCCCAGACTTCACCACTACACAGTATGTCTGTGTAGCAAAATTGCACTTGTACCCCCTAAATCTGTTTTTTAAATAGGAAGGGGGGCAAACCCAATATGACTGGCATTCTTATAAGATGGGGCCTGCATGCACAGAGAGAAGACCAGTGAAGAGGCAGCAAGAGGCAAGCCATCTGTAAATCAAGGGTAGCCATCTACAGAATCCAGGATAGATGCCTCAGAGGAACCCAACCCTGCTGGCACCTTGATCTACAACAAGCTTGTCCAACCCATGGCCCGCCGGTGGCATGTGGCCCAGAATGGCTTTGAATGCGAGCCAACATGAATTGACAAACTTTCTTAAAACATTAGGAGAGTTTTTTGTGATTTTTTCTTTTCGTTTTTTTTTTTTTTAGCTCACCAGCTGTCGTGAGCATATTTTATGTGTGGCCCAAGACAATTCTTCTTCTTCCAATGTGGCCCAGAAAAGCCAAAAGATTGAACACCCCTAAATTATAGACCTTCCTGCAACCAGAACTGTGAGAAAAATAGAATGCCACCCATTCTGTGGTATTTTGTGAGGGCAGCCTTAGCAATCTAATGCACAACCTTATTTCTTATGTTCTACTTCTGTTCCTGTGTGCTGTCACCAGTGAAATGCTGGACATTCTGAAGATATGAATGCTTCCAGTGTAAATACATTTCTTAAGAACTTGATGCAAAGTCTGTGTAAATGCCTTTAGAAATTATGGCCCGCAAGATGATTCCTATGGCAATGGAGAGATGGTTTTTAAAATAAACTTCTATGGTAATATAGATGACTTAAGAGCAACCATGAAGTTGATTTGTGGGAGAATTCCAGCCAGGATCTTACACTTAGCTTTATTAGTGTACCAGAGTTGGCTGAAAACAAGAATGCTGACTTTTGCCACTCAAGCTCATTGAAATGTACAAAGCATACAGAAAATGTGTTACTTTTCAGTAAGGGGTATTTCTTTCTAGTGGCTAAAATACTCCTACTCCTTTCTGAGACATTTTCTTCTCACCAGCAAAATACTGAGGAAGACATATTGTCAAATTGGCCAGATGCAGTGACTCATGCCCATAATCCCAGCACTTTGGAAGGTCCAAGCGGGTGGGTCACCTGGGGCTAGAAATTGGAGACTAGCCTAAGCAACGTGGCAAAACCCCATCTCTACAAAAAATTTAAAAGTTAGCCAGACATGGTGGCATGTGCCTGTGGTCTCAGGTACTCTGGAGGCTGAGGTGGAAGGATCGTTTGAGCACAGGAAGTCAAGGCTTCAGTGAGCCATGATCACACCACTGCATGTGGACAACAGGCAAGAACTTGTCTCAAAAAAAAAAAAGGGACGGGAGTGTAGCATTAGAGCAAAGGAGGGTGATGGACAGTTGTAGAGGTGTTCCTCCAGTTCGCAGTCCCTGTCCCAGCAGAGCCACTCTCCAGGCACAGAAAGCTGGTGCTCTCCAGAGTAGCATCTCTCACCCGGACAGTGCCAGGTTGGCACTGCCAACTTTGCATGCTCCAAGGTGACCCTGCTTTTCCTGTTTGCTGTTTATCCAAAAAGGACACAATTTGACTTGTGTCAATTTGATCTGGAAAAGAAGGATTTGATTTCCCTTTTCTAATGACAAATCACATTTAGGTTGGCATTTTAGCTGTTCACAAATTCTCCTACTCCTTTCTGAGACATTTACAGGCAGTTTCTTGCTTTACACTGAGAGATCTCAATCATACCCACTATGTGTTGATTTTACTAAGCACTGTGAGTGGCTTTTCCTCCAGGTTTTTGAAAGGGTAAGATTAAAAATATTGAGCTACAAAGTTTTGGTCAGAATACAGAGCAACTGGAGCTCTTGTATGTACATTATTGCTGAGAGTTCAGCCATTTTAGAAAACAGTTTGACAATAACCACTAAAATTAAACATACCCTATCCTATGACCCAGCAATTCTGCTTCTGCACATACACCAAAGAGAAATTAGTGCTACTGCCAATCAAAAGACATACGCCAATGTATTGTTTTTTCTCTCTCTCTGAGACACAGTCTCTCACTCTGTTACCCAGGCTGGAATGCAGAGGTGCAATCTCAGCTCACTGCAATCTCTGCCTCCAGGATTCAAGCGATTCTCCTGCAGCGATTCTCCTGACTCTGCCTCTCAAGAGCTGGGATTACAGGTATGCACCACCACACCTGGTTAATTTTTGTATTTTTAGTAGAGAGGTTTAGTCAGGTTGATCTCAAACTCCTGCCTTGGTCTCTCAAAGTGCGGGGATTACAGGCATGAGCCAGTGCGCCCAGCCGACATAGGTATTCTTAACAGATTTATTTATAAGTCAGTACTGAAAATAATCTGGGTGCCCATCAACTGGAAACTGGATAAATTCTGATATATTCTGTTAATGGAATGCCATCCACAAATTTTAAGTCTACTGATACAAGCAACAACATGAATGAATCTCACAGACATGTGCAGTGAAAGAAACTAGACACAAAAGAGAAATCCTCTGTAATTCCATTGATAGGAAGTCCACAAAGAGATAAAACTCAGGGATTGTGCTAAAAATCAGAATGGTGGTCACTTCTGGCAAAGGCCAGGGGTAGACAAGGAAGGAGCATGAGGGAGCTTTCGCCAATGCCGTAAGTTTTTTTTTACCTTGATCTAGGTGGTAGCTACAGGAGTATATACATAGTAAAAATGTACTGAGCTGTATGCTTATATTTTGTGTACTTCAATGTGCACTTTGGTTTTGTAGCTAAATAGAAAACTAAGTAAATAAATAAGTAGATTCTAAGTAAGAGACTAAATGGGTGGAGGCAATGATCCTTCTCATTTTTTTGTCTTTTCTAGACAATGTTTAAAGCCATAATGAAATAAAGGAGTAGAAATTAGTAGTATTGACACAGTAATGAATAATCTTTAAAACAGCCACGGCATGCCAGGCGCAGTGGCTCAGGCCTGTAATCCCAGCACTGTGAGAGGCCAAGGTGGGAAGATCACTTGAGCCCCAGGAGTTCAAATCCAGCCTGGGCAACATAGCAAGACCCACCCCCATCTATGCTTTTTTAATTTAAAATATACATATATAACAAAACAAAATAAAATATCCATGACATCGCATTATTCCGATTTTTACAAATAATTTTTTAATAAATCCATGTATTTTCTCATATGGAAATGAAAAATACCATTCCATTTTAAATGCGCAGGGGTCTGGATTTTCCTCACAGTCTGCAGTTTGATTTTAACAATCAAACACACAGCACCATCTCTACCCTTAAACCAAGCTTGAAATCTCTGTTAGATTACGAAAAGTGATGCAGGGAAGTTTTTAACTTCTCAAATCTGAAAAAGACCAAATGGATTTCTGTAAAGAAAGAATAAAATAGAATTGATGCTTTTTAGCCGTGATCCTTCTCTGGTGGGAAATGCAACCTTAATACAAATACTTTCCACATTTGGCCTCCTGTTTGTTAGGAACACAAGAAACAAGAAGCTGACCTTGGGAGGACAAATCTTGGGCCAGAACTCTGCTCCAGGCAAAAGATGTAGCAGGATCAGCAACCACTACAGAACTGAAGTGGGAGGAAGGGTGCTGGACACCTTGAGATAAAGTCTAGGAAACTCGGCTGTTGTCTGGGAGCAAAGTGCAGAAAAGTGGAGATGCACTTGAGGAGAGGGAGGCAGTGGAGTTTGAATGACAGCTTGTCTTCATCCTTAGTGCCCTCCTGCTGACCTTCTGGAAAATTAGATTTGCACCCAAGGGAAAAAGTCTGCATGCATTTCCTCAGCCATAATTTACTTATTTTAAAAAGATGGTATTAGACAAGAAAATAATTGGACTTTAAAAAGAAAAAAAATGTGGCATGATGAAATAGAAAGAACTATCCAAAACTTTCTAAGACTTCGTTCTTCCATGAGTGGGTTATGTGGCCTTGTGTGACACGCCCCCCCCAACTTTTCTGGGTCACAGATTCCTCATTTGTGAAATGGGGGGATTGAGTTGGATGATCTCTATCAGCCCTTCCTGCCCTAACACTAAGTTGTGTTCCATATTCTCTATTTAAAGAATCTGAAAAGGATGTGATAAAGTTTTAAAGAGAGTTTCATCAAATATGCTTTAAAAAGGAAAGTTGGTGCTTAGAGGGGTCCGCTTCCAGTAATGTGACATTTTACGCCTCTGAGAATCTCCTCTGAGCTGATCTCATTTTGGTACTTTTTCTCTCTCTGTATATGACTCTTCCAAATGCCAGTTCCTCTATTAACATCAGTCTCAATTCAGAATACTAACCACCCTCCTGTACCATCTTGGGAACTCCAAATAGAATGATACTAAAAGAACAATTGGTTTTTGTCTATTTATGGAGACAGAGAAAGGGATGAAGGCGATCATCAAAGCTTCAGCTCCCTTCCTCGAGCCCTGGAAGATGGAAATACACCAGCTTCACTGGGAGCAAAGCTCTGGCTCAGCAGCCTGGCCAGGATGTCTCTACTAAGAGCCATTTATACAGGTTCACTGGCCTGAGCAAGATTGAGGGTTCACTGTTCAATTTCAACAGAAATTTAAAAACAAACAAAAATAGAGTTCTCTGGAAAAG